TATATATATTGCTAATAGAAACGAAGATGCGCGTCCCCGGACATAAATCAGAAGAAAAGGCGATCTCGGGAACCATAGTTTTACTGTCCTGACGTTACAAAAGCATACAGGCTTCCATCGTCGGAGGTGAGTGTGGTATCGCGCCTTACAGTATTTATAGGTGGGTGACAGTCATGTCAAGACGGGTATTGTTCATACATACGAAGTCAGGGCGACAGGGAGGAAGGGGCGGGGAGGGAGTCCTAGAGCGTCTTCTCGCCGGATGTGCTTCCTAAGAGCCTGTCCTACAGGCCACCGGTGAACACAAGTCTGGCGAAACGGTGGGTGGTTGAACATGGTAGACGAATGATTCGGGCGCTTCTCCAAGATTGCCATCTTCGACTGCGTAGATACAACAGGGTTTTGAGCCAGGCGGTTACAAAGTGCGCCGAACTCATCGGTGAGGACGGAGTCACACATTTGCAACAAGTGATTAATAAACGGGCCAGAAACCTGCGAGCAACAAGAGATGCCGAGCTGGCGGTCAAGCTCCAGGGTATAAGCCAATCATCTCAAGAGGAGAACGAAGTCCTGGTGCACAACATGTCCTCTAAGCAGCTGACCCCTGCACAAATGAAAGCGCTGAGTCATGAGGCCTGCTTTAACACCACAGACGCCGATCCGGTCAATTTCGTGGCCACGGTCGAGTCGATTCTCAAACAAACCGGGGAATCCGACGAAACAAAGCAACTCATACGACAGCAGGTAACCTCCTTGGCGATGGCGCACAAACCACGTGCAACTATTACCAAGGCCGAGCAGAGTGCTCTCAAGACACTGAGGGTGACACCAGCATCGTGACTCTACCAGCAGACAAAGGACGCTCCACAGTTGTGATGGATAAGGCAGACTACATTCAGAAAGCCAATGCCCTACTGGGGGACCGACAGGCGTACCTACCGTGTAACGATGAACCGATGAGGAAACTGGTGACGCAACTGGACAAGACACTCGCCGACATGCAAACCAGCAAGACAATAAATAAGTCGGTACGACTGGCCATTAAGCCAGTAGACGCGGCCGCACCACGCTTTTACGGACTGCCAAAGGTACACGAAGCCGGGGTGCCCCTCCGGCCAATCGTATCATTGCGCGACACACCTACATTCAATTTGGCTAAATGGATGTTCCGAAACCTGAGGTCTCTCACCTCGGACGCGGTCACGACGGTCTGTTCAGCGACTCAGTTCCTGGAGCGGATCAAAGGGGTGAGACTTACCGAAGACGACGTCATGGTGTCATTCGACGTCACTTCTATTTTCACTTCGATTCCGCAAGACCTGGCAGTCGAAACGGTCAGCGAGCTGCTCGAGAGTCAGGTGCGTCTGTGTGCATGTTTGTGTTTCTGGTCGCAGCTGCTGATGGTCAGGGTTATGATTGGCTGAATGAAGGCAGAATAAGCCCGAAACAGTGCTGTATCAATCTACCCGCATTCTCTGTCGTCCCTCCTCGCTGCTATTATGACTTGGCCGACTTCGGCCTGGTAATTGGTTGCCTGTTCGTGACCTTTGCCACACATACGGAGCTTGTTTGCTTTGTGAAGCCAATAGATCGGTGTGCGCCCATTCCTGATACATATATATATATAGGCAGAATGATATTACCGACAAAGACAAGGGACAGATGGGCGCTCACCGATCAGGTTACAGAACATGCTCGTTCTGCTGTGCCTTGGGGCTCATACTTAAACCCTCGCAGGCAGTCGCACAGCGACTAGTGGTATATGTTGATAAGGTGATACCGACAAAGACAAGGGAGACCGGTCTCCCTTGTCTTTGTCGGTATCACCTTATCAATATATATATATATATATATATATATATGTATATGGTAGGGGGCCCTCACCGATCGTTCTTACGGAACTCACTCATTCCGTTGTGCCTTATGGGCTCTCCCTGGAGCCCAACCAACAGCAGCACAGTGGCGCGTAACATAATCGGAATAGCACTACCGACAAATGCTAGTGAGACTGAAATGGCCACTTCTGGTTTATTGGCCGTCATCAGTCAGTTATACCCAACCCCGAGTTGTGGAACACCTGGGGCTCGATTCTGCTACCTGTTGGTTAGAAGTCCAACGCCTCTGACCACTGAGCCACGGGCTCGTTGTCTTGTCGGTTGCGATCGGGAATATAGAGTGGCAGAGGGACTCTCACCGATGGTGTTATGGAACTCACTCGTCCCAGATATTGAACACTTCGGAGTTGAGTATGGCTGGTTGACTGCAGTTAATAAGCCATAAACGGCCGTTCCAATCTCCCTTGCCTTTGTCGGTAATAACATTCTGCCTATATCATGCGTCGATGTGCGGCTGCTGGTTGGGCTCGAGAGAGAGACCGTAAGGTCCAACGGAACGAGTGAGTTCCGTAGAAACTATCCGTGAGCGCCCCTCTACCATAGTATATTCCCAATCGCATCCTACGGGACAATGAGCCCATGTCTCAGTGGTTAGAGGCGTTGGACTTCTAACTAACAGGTCGCGGGATCGAGCCCCACTTGCAGTTGGGTCCCGTTCACGTTGATTTGCGGCGCGTTGTGGACAGTGTTGGGTGGCGATTGATGCATGATCACCGTCTTCTCCGTGTTGATGACCAGGCCGAAGTTCTCGCAGGCGGCGGAGAAGAGATCTATGCTTCTTTGCATGTCCCCTTCAGTAGTTGCACTGAGGGCGCAGCCATCGAAGAACAGAAGTTCGTGGACGGTCCTTGTGGAAACACGCGACTGGTGGTTGCCGTCCTGTAAGCGACGCGGATTCCGGGGGGGCCACGGGGCTGCTAAGGAGAGTCCGCTCACTCTGGCTGCCTGAAATGTCCATTCCGTCCTAGGAAATTCAAGTAACAAGCTGCCGGAACGGAGGACGGCTCTAGTTGCTCGAAAACTGAGGTGCTGCAAGGTGGAAATCGCTGCACCCAGCGTGACTCAGTTCTTCTCCGTCTACACCTTCTCCTGGAGCGTTCGTCCCATAGCAGAACGAAGGGACGCGGACGTCGCCTTTTTTATCCGGGACAACATCGTGGGACGACTGCCCTGTCTGCCGCAAGGCATCAACGATCGCATGATGAGCCTCCGCCTGCCTCTCCAGGGAAGCAAATTCGTCGCCATCATCAGCGCCTACGCCCCACTAATGACCGATTCTGACGAGGCGAAGACCAAGTTCTAGGAAGGCTTGTGCCGCAGGCGGACAAGCTAGTTGGCCTTGGTGACTTCAATGTTCGTATCCGCAGTGCTGCGTCCTCAGGGAACCGCCGGCTGCAGCGTCAATGGCATCCTTCTCCTGCGAATCTGCTCTAAACACTGCCTCCTGCTGACTAACATCTTCTTCTGCCCGCCGATGCGAAAGAAGGCCACCTGAATGCACTGGCGCCTGCTGCATTATGTTCTCGTTCGGCGACGCAATCACCTAGAAGTGATGGTGATCAAGACGATCCCGGATGCCGATGGCTGGACGGTCCACTGCCTAGTCATATTCAAGATGAGGCTCCGACTGCAATCACGTGGTTCTATCCTGACGGATGCTATGGAAGATAAGGAAGGGCTGTTCTGGAGACAAACACTTTATTGTAGGTCGGCGGAAAACAGCGGATCCCTTACCTCACCAACTCTCACCTATTTATTGGAGTTCCGGCCCTTCTCAAACCTTCTGGCTAGTGGTGTGCCATTCGCGGTGGGCATATCCCGGTTTGTGGTGTGTCGCACTTTGATTGGCCACTTCTCACGTTGGAAGGCTCTCGCGGAATCTAATCGAATATTTGTGCCGCACGCGTGAGCAAGGGCTTGACGGGCGTTTGATACAGCTTCATAAGTAGCATTCACAAGCGTGCTGATAGCTTGACCGTCGTGCCCGACGATATCCACCGTGTGTTTCATAGCAAGACGAACCAGGCGCGATGACTTGAGTCAAAGACTGATTGATTACCCAGAACTTGAAGGACGATTGCCCAGGCAAATGCAGGGCTGCGGGTCGCCCTTCTGGACCTTAAGGATTGCAAAGGTATGTCATGCCAGGATCAGCAAACCATGGGCCTAACAGTCTGGTGTGCGTTGGCAGTTCTCTGGCACCTGATCCTCTGCCGATAAATGCGCCTGCGCCCCGCTGGGTATACAAGCGAAGAGGAAGATTCGAGCACCGGAACACTTCGTTTATTATCCTGAGCTTTCAGACTCGTACAAGAGTCCATCGTCAGAGGTAGTGACAGAAACAGAACAAGCGGCAGTTATGAGGCATGTAGGCCCAATCATCGACCGACGGCGCACGACTGGAGGTGACTACACAGGGCTCTGTACGCCGGCGCCAGATCGATAAATCGATTGACAGAGTTCTCATCCGAGGCCCAGGCTTCCATCAATTCTCGACCTGTTTTGTTTCCGGCATGGGCGACTATTTTGGTGGCCGCGAAGTTAAACTCGTGACCCATTTCGTAGGTGTGGGCGGCCACTTGTGATAATGCGTCGCCTCGCCGCACGGCCAGCTTATGTTCGTGTATGCGCGATCCGAGCATGCGTCCAGTCTGTCCTGTGCAGTTACAAGGACAATTCTGACACGGGATGCGATACACCACTCCAGATTGCTCTTCAGGTTTAACCGGTCTTTGATTTTCATGACCCTGTTATGCATGGTGGCTTTGGGGCGGTGTGCGATTCCAACACCCAACTCCGCAGCAGTGCGCTCGGTCGCTTCTGAAACACCCTTGATGTATGGCAGAGAATGCCATATCGTCGGTGGCGTTGATGTCCGAGTTCTCGGATGGCGACCGCGTAGACAGCGACTTATGAATGCCCTCGGATAGCCATTTTGCACAAACTGGTCGTTGAGATAACGGGCCTCACGTGCTCTGTCCTCCGGTTTGCTGCAATGAGTTTGGATCCGTTTGAAGAGCGTCTTCACACAGCTTTGTTTGTGAGCCACCGGATGGTTGCTGTGGAGACTGTGAAGCTGTGTGGTGTTCGTTGCCTTCCTATAAACCGTCGTTTCAAGTTCACCGTCAAGGTTTCGTCTGATTAGCACATCCAGGAAGGGCAACTGCTGCTCTTATTCTTCTTACCTCGTGAATTTTATATCAGGGAAGACTGCGCTGAGCAGACTGTGGAAATGTTGCAGCATGCCCTTCTTTACGATGACGAACGTGTCGTCAACGTAACGGCGCCAAAACACCGGTTCATGTTGAATGAAGGTAATCTTTTCTAGCTCCTGTAGGACCAGTTCTGCCACCAAATCGGAGACCGGTGAGCCCATTGGGGTTCCCTTGATTTGTTCATAGGTATCTCCCGCAAAAGTGAAAAAAGTTTGTTGGCAAACTTCAAACAGCCTCACGAGGTGTTCAACTTTGAGGGCATTCTGAGTCTCATCGTACACCTATTCAAGTCTTTTGCGCAAGACTTCGCGGGCCACGTTTGGTGGGATGGATATGAATAACGACGTCACATCGAAGGAGACCATGATTTCGTCCGATTGAATTCTCCGACCTCGGAGGTGTATGAAAAATTGGGAGGCTGATCGAACTGAGGTAGTCGAATTGCCTTGGAGGAACTTTAGTTTTGAGTACATCCCCTTTGCCAAGTCTTGCGCATGGGTGTCCAATGACGTGTCATTGTCCCTTTTCTGACCCGTTTATTTTGTTGCTGATTAAAATCCTGATCTAGTGTTTGTTGTGGACCAGGAGCTGTGGTGGTACGCCTGCGTGCTGGTCCTAGTAGCGCCAGTCACATGCGCCCTCTCCCACCTCCGATGTTCTTGACTCTGCCAGCCTGGTGCAAGCTGGCAGCTCTCTGGCACCTTATTCCCTGTCGGCAAATGTGCTTGCGCTGCCGCTGGTTATACGGGTCGTGAGCATGACTGCCCAGTCGTCCTCGTCCTTCCGAACAGTTGCGGGGCTGTTGTTGTTTGTTAAAATCCTGGCCAAATGTTTGTTGTGTACCAGAGGGCATGTTAGTACGTCTAGGTGCGGGTCCGACCGTGCTAGCCACCTGCGCCCTCCCCTACCTCCGGTTTTCCCGACTCTTTCTTGACACGGGGCCCAGGTGGGGGAGGAAGGGGGAGTGCGATAGGTGCCGTGTTAGTCTACTACCACTAGAAACTAATTCACGCACAAGTCGCAGTGCCTGCCTTCACCTTGCTGTGGAGCACACGGTAGACATCGTCGGCAACGACGGTCCAACTGTCGGTTCACCAGTTATCGTGCGATGGATTCGCGGATGACAAACCAGGCCAGTGCGTGAGGCGATTGTGCAATCGGAATGAGGACATGTATGGACCGAGTCCACATTGCTGGAGGTGGGGATGGTGATGGTGAATGTGTGAGTAGTAGTAAGGGCATCAGTAGTGTTTTGGTCGTTGGCGGTGGTGGCAGAGGTGATTGTGTTCGACGTCGTTGCAGTAGGTAAGGCAAGTGTAGGGGAGATGGTAGTACCCGCCTGCAGTGTGGCACGGGGATTCGAAGCAGCAATGGTGAGGGTGGGTGCCGATATGGTCGACGTGGAAATTGAGGCAGGCGCGGTCGTGGAGTCATCAGTTGATGTCGTCAGGCGGTTGGTGCATTGGGCCCGAAGACGACTGACGAGACCGAGTTGCGGCCGAAATGTTCGTTGACTGTGCGGGCACGTTGGGTGGGGTTGAGGGGCGACGTTGCGAATCGGAGGTGCCTGGAACTTAAGAGCGGCCCTTTTGGCTTTGGCGGTGGCGATCCGGTTTGCTTCGTAGATGGCTAAGCCAGTCTTCACTTCTCTTCTCCAAATCGGCCTGTTCTTGGCGAGGTCCTCCCAGGTCTCTGGGTTGATATGCAATCGCTTGAGAGGATTCGTCAATGTGTCCTTGTAGCGTCATTTCGATTCTCCCAGTCGGCGAGCATCGGTGGCGACATCGCCAAAGAAGAGTTGCTGTGGTAGACGTGTATCCTCCATCCGCAGGAGGTGGCCGCTCCAGCTTAGTTGCAGTTGCCTCGGCATGGCATTGATGGTGAGGATTCCGGTCCGTTCTACAACTTCCGCGTCGGGGATCCTGTTTTGCCATCTCACCTTTGGTATTCTGCGAAGGCAGCTGAGATTGAAGTGGTTGAGTAGACGGTCCAGGTCTCCTCTCCGTAAAGAAGTGTCGTCAGGACGACGACCTTGTACATCTTTAGTTTTGTATTCAGTTGGAGGCCTTGACGATTCCACCTGGGGTTCTGCAGCCGACCGAAGGCTTGGCTGGGTTTGGAGATCTGGTGGACCGGGTCGTCGTCGATCCTGATGCAGTGTGAGATTGGGCTGCATAGGTAGTTAAAGTTATCCACAGTCTTCAGTTCTATGCCGTTGACGCAGAGGCGAGAAGAACTGTATCCAGCGGTCGATGGCTGTTGATGCATGACCACCGTCTTGTCCGTATTTATGATCAGTCCGAAGTGGGCGCAACCGGAGTCAAAGAGATCCATGCTCCGTTGCATGTCTTCTCTGGCCGTGCTGTTGCATGCACAGTCGTCGGCGAAGGGCAGATCGCGGATAGTAGTTGTGGAGAGACGCTTCGTGGTCTTCATTTGCCGGCTGTTAAGCAGGTGTCAGTCGGTCTTGTAGTTGATGCGGATCCCGAAGCGCTTATTACGGTAGACGTCCATCAGCATGGCAGGGAACGTAAGAATGAAGAGGGTGGGCGCGCGTATGCATCCTTGCTTCGCTCTATTGGTTACTGCGAATGTCTCAGAGATTGCGTCCTTGTCCTTGACGTACGCCATCATCCCATCGTGGAGCTGAAGTACCGTGTGCGTGAATCGTTCGGGAAAGCCGGGTTTTTGCATGATTCTCCACAGTCCTTCACGATCCACCGTGTCGAAAGTTTTCGTCAGCTCCACGAACGTGGTGTGGGGGTGAGTTCGAATCTCCTGCAACTTCTCCTGTAGCTAGCGGGCGGTAAGATCATGTCGGTGGTTCTCTGGTGACTCCGAAAGTCACACTGGCTTTCCGGTAGGAGTCCTTGCTTTAGGTGGTCGGGCTAACTGAGCTAGCTTGTAGTTATGGTCTGCTTCCACTTCCATCATTTCATTATCCAAATTCTACACCTTCCTCGAGTTGGGAATTTCTGTTAACCCACCATATTGCACAGGACCGAATTGGAACATTCAATCCCTATTTTCCGCGGATAATCAATCGCTGGGTGACGTAGATGCTTCCCCTCAGAAACAAACAGTTTGTCCCTGGGGTCAGCAACAGATGACCCTAGGACCCTGTCTAATGGAAATGGCAGTAAAATGGTTTATAAGAGTGGGGCCTTATGCCGCACATAAAAGGAAATCGAGAAATTAATAGTGAGAAGAAATGTAAAATAGCATCGAAAGCTTTCTAATGGGCTTAGAATGTAAGCAGTTAGTAAGCGCACAAATTCGAAAAGCTAGCCCAAAACGGTAGTTAAGGTAATTCAGGCTACTGAATAAACCGCTGTCGACTGAATAACGGAAGCTCAGGTTCCAGGGGAAATAGCAGCCAATCGGAATTGGCCGCACGCGATAATCAGACGTACAAATAACTCAGGTTGAGAGATATGCCAGAGGACGCAATAACTGTCAAGAATTTACCAAAAAAATGCAAAACAAAGAACAAGAAGGAAGTGCGAAAAGGTAAGCTAAGTGACAGTAAAAAAAAGATTAAAGAGAAAAAACACGTCTAGTAGTGTAAAGAGACATGGTTTACAAATAGATATATAGGCATATGTAATGGAAATAATTTATGACAAATATCGGGGACTTCGGCATCAAAAACAAATCCCCACCCTGAATACAGGAGCACATAAAGCAGTCTGTCCATGTAGATCTAAACAGCAGTATCTGTAAGTGAACGGTAATTGCAATAGTTAGAAATAGCAATAAAACGTAAACTAATTTCTTTTTTAACGCAGACCATCGCCTGAACAAACTGGAAGGCTCAGAGGGCCCCAGAGGGACATACCAACGGAATTTGAGGAGATAATGGAAATAATGAACTCCGATAAGGTGGTGCAATATTGCCCAAAAGTTGGAAATGTAAATGTCGTTGGACAATGCAACAGCAAATCCTCAGGAAACACACTGACGGTTTCGTCTTCAGATGCAACCCTTGCAACAACACGAAGGCACTGTGAGCAGGTTCGATATTTGAAGGCAGCCATCTAACAATCAAGGTTTTAAAAATTTGCCTGTCATTCTTAAGAGAAGCCAGAGTACGGCAATGTCAAAGGGAAGTGGGAGTGTGTCATGTAAGGGCAGTGGAGTGGTACGGCATATGTCGCCATACCAATGCAATTGAAGCGTATAGGAGCCAGGCTGAGCTGTCTAGGCCCAAACTGAAGAGATACAATATCGTCTATTGTTTTGACTCAACGCCGCCGGCCTAAAATAAGCATGGGAAACCTTCCTGGCCAACATTGCGGAGGTGTACCCCGTGAAGCAGCCGAACAATTGATCATCCTATGGAACTGGTACACAACAGCCAATTCTCTCAGCTGTAAGAATTTTCGGTCAGATCGCAGTTCGTAGCCCGGAATGGGGAAGCCAAACGAACACTAAAAACCTAGCTCTAACCGTAAAACCCAAACAAAAACACTAGTCCTAAGACCCTAAACTAACGCTAACCGTAAAACAAGACACCAAAAGCCTAACCCTAACTCTACAAGATAACATTAACTCTAACACTAATACCTAACCCTAAACTCAAGCCTTAAGCCTAACCCTGAGACCTAGCCCCAACCCTAACCCTAAAATCTAACCATAAACTTAACCCTAAAACCTAACCATAATCTAAACCCTAAACCCTAAAACTAACCCGAAAAACCTAGCACCGACCCTAACACCAAACACTACCCCCAACTTTAAACCTAAAACCTAGCCTTAAAACTAACCCTAAACCCTAATCCCAACCCTAAAACCTAACCCTAGATTGAAACAATAACCCTAAAACCAAAACCGAAAATTAGCCAAAACCCTTACACTAAAACCTATCTCCAACCCAATCCCTAAAACCTAACATTAAACTAAAACCTAAATACTAACCCTAAACTTAACACTAAAACATAAGCCCAACCCTAACACTAAGACCTATACGCAACACTATCCATAGATGAAGAAGAAGAAGAGTCGAGCACCGGAACACTTTGTTTAGTATCCTGAGCTCTCAGACTCGTACAGGAGTCCATCGTCAGAGGTAGTGACAGAAACAGAACAAGCGGCAGTTATAAGGCATGTAGGCCCGATCATAGACCGATGGCGCACGACTGGAGGTAACTACGCAGGGCTTTGTACGCCGGCGTCCGATCGATAAATCGAGTGACCGAGTTCTCATCCAAGGCCCAGGCTTCAATCAATTCTCGACCTGTTTTGTTTCCGGCGTGGGC